TTGCCCCCAGGCCCCGCCCTCGCCCAGGTTGCCCCCAGGCCCCGCCCCCGCCCAGGTTGCCCCCAGGCCCCGCCCTCACCCAGGTAGCTGTACTGCGCAGCCTCCGCGTCCGCCGCCGCAGTCTGGTTCAGGAAGCGGCCCCGGCGGCTGCGTGTGTCGTAGAGCAGCGCCCCACCCGACCAGTCAAAGGCCCCGACGGCGCCGAGCAGCACCTGCCCCTGGAGGGGACAGGGATGGGGCGCAGATGAGCGGGAGGGACCCAGGCCAGCGCTGCTGACCTGGCTGGGAGGAGCGGGGCGTTCGGTGGCCTAGAGCCCACCTGGCCAGAGATGCCGCCGGGAGGGTGAGATGGCAACACGGGGCTCCTTGCACTCCCTGCTGCGGGAGAAGCAAGATTGGTTGCTGAGCTGGCCCAGGTCGGGTCCTGTTGACTGGTCTGTATGCAGGGGAACGACTGGATGTTTGAGCACACAGAAAAAGGTGACCTCCTGCCATAAAAACGGCCACTCTCTATCTCAATGCTCCAGATTATGGTGAGCATGAAGAAATGTTTCCCTTTATCCTAAAATAGCTCTTTCAGGCCAGGCGCAGTGGCTTAGGCCTTGTCATCCTAGCACTTTGGGAGGTCCAGGAGGGTGGATCACCTGAGGTCGGGAGTTCGAGACCAGCCTGGCCAACATGGTGAAACACCCATCTCTACTAAAAATACAAAAGTTAGCCACGCGTGGTGGTGCACACCTGTAATCCCAGTTACTCGGGAGGCTGAGGCAGGAGAATTGCTTGAACCTGGAACGCGGAGGTTGCAGTGAGCTGAGATTGTGCCCCTGCACTCCCGCCTGGGTGAGGGAGCAAGACTCTGTCTCAAAACAAATAAATAAAATAAAATAAAATGGCTCTTTCAGAGGCATCACCACAGGGAGGGCAGAACCCTGAATGGGAGACAGGGGTCCCTGAATCCTAGGTGTCCTGGGCCCCTCCCCGGTGGGCAAGCCTCCCTGGTGGTGAGTCAGCCACGTACCTCATCCAGGATCTGGGCACTGAAGCCAGTCTGTGCCAGCTGGTAGTGAAGGGCGTCTCCAACGGTGCCTGGAAGCAAAGAAGCCCAGTGAGACGGCTGTAGGCTGAGATGAAGGGAGAAACCAAGTCAGGGGACCCTCCAGCTTGGCCTCACTCCCAGAGGGAACCATGCTTGATGTGACAGGCAGAGCACCCGGCTGGCGGAAGAGACCCAGGTTCTCCTTGAGCAGCTACTGGGCAGTCACACTCTCTTTCTAGGCCTCAGTTTCCTCATCTGTGAGCTCCTGGGAGAGGGAACTATGCCTCGGTCATCCTTGTTTCTCCAGCACCAGCTCATTTCATCCGAGCTTCATGGACATTCTGGGACGCAAGAAGGCCTGGGGATATTGTTGCCTCTGTGTGTGTGTGTGTGTGTGTGTGTGTGTGTGTGAGAGAGAGAGAGAGAGAGAGAGAGAGAGAGAGGGGGAGGGAGAGAGAGAGAGAGAGAGAGAGGGGGAGACAGACACACAGATAGCGTCTCGCTCTGTTGCTCAAGCTGGACTGCCGTGGCTCCGTATCAGCTCACTGCAACCTGCACCTCCCAAGGTCAAGCGACCTGGTGCCTCAGCTTCCCAAGTAGCTGGGAATACAGGTCCTGTGCCATCACACCACATCCAGCTAATTTTTTTTTTTTAAAGATGGGGTTTCACCATATTGGTCAGGCTGGTCTCGAACTCCTGACCTCAGGTGATCTGCCCACCTCAGCCTCCCAAAGTGCTGGGATTACAGGCGTGAGCCACCACGCCCGACTAATTTTTTTTTTTTTTTTTTTTTTTTTTTTTT